TGGGAAATGTCTGGCTGTGTTTGTAACTCTCACCTTCTGCTGTGCACGCCAGTCTGCAAGCCCATGGGTGGCTCCTCAGGTTTGTAGGGAGCGGCTGCACCCACACCTCAGCCCCAGTCAAACCAGGGAAGGCTTGGTGGGGGCCCACAACCTGCAGACCATGTTGGTGGAGGTCTAGAGAAACATGGGCCCTCCTGGCCTTTAGAAAGCTCACAGCCTAGTGTGGACAAGGGGCCATTGCCACCGAAGCACAGTCCACCTCAAAGGGCAGTCTGGGCTGCTTGAGATGCTCCCCGGGGGTCTCTGCAGCCGTCATTCTAGTCTCTCTCGAAGGAGGGGGGCCTTTAAAAACTCATGAACAGAAGCCCTTCCTGAGGGTATCCGTTTCCGAGGACTGCTGTCATGAATGACCGCAACCTGAGTTGTTTAACACAACAGACATTTATTCTCTCCCACTCTGGAAGCTGAAGTCCCAATCAGAAGGCTCTAGAACCGTGTTTCCCTAAGTGAGTGACACTGCGCCCCCTCCACCCGCGCGCGTACGTGTGTGTGTGTGTGTGTGTGTGTGTGCTGGAACAATGCATAGGCTTTGCAAAAAAGCATACGCCCACACTTTATCCTGGATTGGGGACTGTGGTACCCATGTTCACCTGGACACTGAGTAATTTTCTTTTTCTTGAAAGGGGGTGGGAGGCCAAATCAGTTTGGCAACCTTCTCCTGGGTCCAGGGGGAGAGCCTGCCTGTGTCCTCCGGCTGTTGGTTTCCTCAGGATGGCCTGAGGACTCAGCCGCCCGATGGCTGCAGAACTTCAATCTCGACCTCTCTTCTTCCATCGCCATCTTCCCTCTGTGCCTGCCTCCTTCTCTCGCCACAGGGACACTGAGTTAGGGACTTCTTTGCCCCCGGTGTGTCTTCCTGTTAACTAGTTACATCACATCTGTACAGGCTCTCTCTCCTCACTAGGTCTCATTCATGGGTCCAAGAGTTATGACTCGAACATGCCTTTGGGGACACACATTGGCCCATGACACTCAGACATGCCGAGGAGCCTGCTCAATATTGGACATTGTGTTAGGCTGAGTTTTCTCGAGAAACAAAGCCAGTGACACTCATACATGTGGGAGAACTTTATATCAAGAAAGACTTTTCTAGAGAGAAAGCAGCCCTGCCCAGTCCATGGGTCTGATGCTCCACTGAACCCCCTTCAGACTCGCCCAGCCGCTGGTGGGTGAAACAGAAAGGTGAAGTCGGAAAGTGGGCGAGAGGTGTAGAGAGGTGTTGAAATTCCTGCACTACAGATGCCTGAGCAGTAAGCAGAAATCTTCAGCTCTGCAGGAAACAGGGAGAGA